GGCTGTGCGGACTGCCCTGGGAAGGAGCCTCACTGCTTGCTGCTCTCGGGGCCACTGCACTAGCTCCTAAAGCAGGAGAACTCCTTACTCTCTAAGACCTCATGGATCCACAGTCCAAAAACTATGATTCCACATACAAATCATACCAATTTTTACATAATAGAATTCAACCAAATATAGCAATTTAGATAGGATACGAACAAGGTTTTCCATCTTAATTTAGAAATAATTATTTTTTTGGGGAAGAGGACAGTTACTGGAGTGAAGGAATAATAATTTTAAGAACATGCAATTAATTTTTCTGCATAGTATCCACCTGGCAGAAGCCCTGGGTGAACACATGAGGTACAGACTGGCAGCTTTCAAACGTCAGTATGCATGAGAATCACCTGAGGTCCTTATTAACAGAACAGATTGTTACGCCCTATCTTCAGAGACATTGATTTATTAAGTCAAGGGCTGGGTGCAGGAATTGCTATTATCAATAACTTGCCCAGGTAGTTCTGATGCCGCAGATACTATGAGAAATGGGAGTCAGGCCTTAATGTGAAAATTTGAGAAAAGACAGGAATACTCTTTAAAAGTGAAACCAAAACCACCTTATCTGTCTTGTTGCTGAGAATGTACCTTCATTCTTATTAGTATTAATAACAATATTTTTGATTTTTAAATTTCTAGATTTGTTTCTAGACCTACTTACATTCCACTGTTCTAAATTGGGTATAATTAAAAAAATTTTTTTTTTAATATAAGTGCTGGTTCTTGCTTCAATGTTGAAGGAAAACCACACAAAATTATCACCCATTCTATTGACCTTTTTGGCCAAATTATGTTTTCAGTACCGCATTAATCTTTAAATTAATATAAACCTTTAAAGATCTTGAGTTAGTGCAAATTTAAAATTCAATAATATACACTAAATACAATTTTACTTTATATTACAAAAAAAATTATTTTTTCTTTGACATGCTGGTAGTATTCATGTTTACAGCGCAAAAAGGACTTCACAATTTTCAAGTCACAGTATATTTGATAACTCAAAGAAGGCAAATGTATTTTAAAAAGCAAATACTATACGTTTGGGACATACCCTAAAAAAATAAAAATAAATAATTTTGACTATAAAATTTTTATAAACATGAGCTACAGTAGGAGTTCAATGGCTAATTGTTGCAGAAAACCTAAAACATGTATAAGTCATGTAATCTTACTATCAGATGGCTTGCATTTTAAAACACAGGTCAGTTATGTTTCTATGAAACATACCAAAGTAGTGAAAATTATCTTCACCTGCCTAAAGGACCTATAAAAGCTGCCAGGTATTCAGTATTTAAGCCACTAAGTTTATAAGGAGTTAGGAATGTATTAGGACAGTGAAAGATGAGAGAAACCTGAAAACAGATCTGGAGATAGGATTTACTTCATGTATGTCTTCCTGAGAATGTAGAAGTTCCTTTTTAAATGTCAAGATGATTTTAAATGGTGCAGGAAAATCTGATGGCAAATTGATTGTGTAAAGTATAGAATTCCTGGTAACTTAACAATTATTACCCTAATATATAACTTACAAACATGAAGTCTTATAAACTGTATTTATTTAAACAAGGCACATGCCTATATTTTTATTTGAAATGCTGGGTAAATGTGCCTAAAAGAGTGAATTTTGCTAAAATAAGACAGTATGTTTTATGATATGGTATTTTGAAATAGCTTAAAAATTAAGTCTGAATGAGTGAATAAGGGAGCAGGAAACAGGGTCAGTAAGGATAAAACCTCACTGGATTCTGATCATTGAAAAATCAATCTGTTTAAATACATGAGGGCACTGTACACAGTCTGTTATAATTACAATGTAATAGTATGGTTAGTTTTAGTAATTTAAAAAACTATGCAGTTATTTTGATTATTTTAATTCCTATAGCTTATGTTAACTATTTGCTTTGCTTCTATCAAAATTGCTTCACAATTTTGATCATGAATTAAAGGATAAACTTAATTATACTGAGAACATGATCAATCCAGAAAAGAAAATCTGTAAAACTCTCCTATCACTGCCATGGGTTTTGTGAAATGTATATAAATAAGCTAAAAACAGACCTGCTCATAGACTCTTTCAATACTAGAATTTAGGACCACCCATGGAGATCTGGAAGAGGTTAATTTAGCAAAACAAAAATGTTTTATATAACATACTGGTTATTGTATACATTACTAAGTTGCTCCTTTGAAACTCAGCCTGGGCCTGAGATGATGCGTCGAAGTTTATGGCAACTTGTGGATGACAGATTCACAACAGACCCTTAAATGGAGCTAATGGTGTTTCCGGGGATACCTTCTAAGCTTTCAGAAATAATGTCAAAAAGACCACCAGGCCTACTTATGGGCCATGTGTCAGATAAACACTAGGCTGGGTGCCCACTGGATCTGCCTAATTGTAGGACATTAGGGGTGGCCTGTCAACAGTGGCAGCAGAGCACCCTCTAATGGGTAATTGTGAAACTAGCTTGTCAAACAGTTTCCGGTAATTGAGGGACAAATAAAACAATGAAACAAGGCTTTCAGTTATCCAAAAGTAGTTTCCCAGTGCTTTTCCTGCCCTCCTCCTTTTTTTTAAACACTGGGGAGTACTTCCAGGGAATAAGAATACATGGATAATATAATTGTCCAGAGAATTTAATTAGGATTTAAATTACTTAGTCAATAGGCTAAATTTCTGATTGTGACTAGCAGAATTTATGTGATCAATTTAACTTATTAAATAAAGCTATATAATGTAAACACTAAAACACCGGTATCATACCACAAGGTAAATAATAAATAAGCTAAAAATATATATCTCTCTCATTTTCAAATAAATATGATATAAACATTTAGCAGAGGTTTCTATCCACTCACCTCCCCAATGGGAAATTCTGTTAAGTACTTTGGATATAAAAGACGACTGTAATTTAAAACACTACAAGACTATTGAATTTTTAAAATTTATCAGTCAGTCTTGATTTTCTTTTTGAGCAATTAATCTGACTGATAAAGTTTCCTTTAAATATGTTTTTTTAAAAAAAAAATTGTTAGCTTGGCGCAGTGGCTCATGCCTGTAATCCTAGCACTCTGGGAGGCCTAGGTTTGTGGATTGCTTGAGCTCAGGAGTTCAAGACCAGCCTGAGTAAGAGTGAGACCCTGTCTGTACAGGCATTGTGGTGGGTGCCTATAATTCCAGCTACATGGGAGGCTGAGGCAAGAGGATCACTTGAGCCCAAGAGTTTGAGGCTGCTGTGAGCTATGATGCCATAGCACTCAGGGCAACAGAATGAGATTCTGTCTTGAAAAAAAAAAAAAAGAGAGAAAATATTGCTGACATTTGTCTTTTAATCAAAAGAGAAGTTGATGAACTATCCAACTTGGAACTTTTAATCCAAAGTGCTCTGAATCTTATTTTTTACCAATTCATTTATCTGGCTTTCTTTTGGCTATGCTAGGATTAGAAAAAGGATCCTCAATTTCAGCTCCACATGGTTGTGAACAGGGTTCATCAAACAACATTAAGCGGTCTGAACATGTTCCTAAAATAAAAATTATAATAAAAATTTTAAGTATTGTCAATATATACATAGACTGGGCTGCAGGAAATCTTGAGGCATGCTGCAGGAAGTGCCCAGAATTAACCATGCTGGCTTGACACTAATCATTTCCTTTCAAAAAAGCAAATTAATTTGTAAAATCCATGGTGTCACCATGTTAAAAGTAAGACAGAAATCATCTTTCCACTTCCATCTTGTTGGTAGTATAAGTAATGTGCCCATCAACTGAGTGGTTCAGTAAGGAATGAGACAGTGTATCCATGTACTCCAGCGTGAATTCCATTCTCAAAACATGCAGCCACAAAATACATTTCACTTTAGTGTAACTTTTTGTGACTTTTTAAAAGCTAATATATATGATCAAGTATTTCGCTGAAAAAAATCCCCAAGTATTTGTAAATAACTGGAGGTTGGCTGTTTGGGGATGCTAGTTACATAAATGCATACCCATTATACTACTAGTGAGTTCAGACTAAACAGCTGCTAGAGAATCTACTTTCAGATGGATCTACTTGTTTGTGAGGATTCTATGCTAAGTTTTCATGTCCTTATCCGTCTACTCAGTCTCCTTTATGTCCTCTTGATCCGAAGTACTAGAGATGTCATCATCGGTTTGTTCTCCAGAGAAATATAACATTGATGCGCGAGTCTTGTGAGTTATGGTGACAACACAGGGCCCTTGGGCCCAGGGTTCCCCATCTACCTGCATTGGCATCATCGAACACTTCAAAATCAGCTGATATTAGGAAACAAATAATTAGAAAAAGTCAGTCCTCCTAAAGTTCAGGAAGGTCTTCCTTAAAAATATCACCCAGTCCTTTAAACATGTACGCATTTAGGGGTGTCCAACTGCGGCCCATGGTTGGCTATGAATGCTTATCTGGGAGGGTATCATGAAAATTATGCCTGGACCTTTTTGGGCTCACCAACTTTTGCTGGTATTTGTGTACTTAAGGTATGGCCCAAGATAACTCTTTTTTTTTTTTTTTTGAGTATTCTTTTACTTTTTCAAATTAATATGAGGATTAAATTTTTAGGTTACATTGTTCTTACTTCCAGGGTCAAGTTCCAGTTGTAGCAGAGCCCCTCACCCAGGGGGTGTGTTATACACCCTCACAACGTGCATATGAGGTGAGATCTCACCTCATGCCCTCCCTCTTTCTGCCATATGTCCTCTCCCCTTCCCCCTCCCGCTTTCCTCTATCTCCACATTGGACTATACTAGTGTTTTATTATTGTTCTTATGAGCATGTAATTGTTTTTTTTTTTCTGAGATAAAGTTTCACTTTGTCACCCTCAGTAGAGTGCTGTAGCGTCACAGCTCACAGCAACCTCCAGTTCTTTTTTCCTTTTTAACCTCTAGTTCTTAGGCTTAGGCTATTCTCTTGCCTCAGACTCCAGAGTAGCTGGGACTATAGGCACCAGCCACAATGCCCAGTTATTGTTTGTTGCCGTTTGACTGAGGCCGGGTTTGAACCCACCACTCTCGGTATATGGGGCCGACGCCCTACTCACTGAGCCATAGGTGTCACCCTTTTATTTTTTTTGAGACAGTCTCAAGCTGTCACTCTGGTCATAGAGTGCTGTGGTGTCACAGCTCATAGCAACTTCAAACTCTTGGGCTCAAATGATCCTCTTGGTTCAGATTTTCTATTTTTAATAGAGATGGGGGTCTCGCTTTTACTCAGGCTTGTCTCGAACTTGTGAGCTAAAGCAACCCACCTGCCTCAGCCTCCCAGAGTGCTAGGATTTACAAGCGTGAGCCACTGCACCCAACCTGCATGTAATTGTTTATATATCCATCTCATATTGTATGGAGTACACTGGATATTTATTTTTCCATTCTTGCAATACTTTACTAAGAAGAACGTCTTTCAACTCCATTCAGGTAAATATAAAAAATGTAAAGTCTCTTTCTTTTTTTTTTTTTTAAGAGACAGTCTTGCTTTATCACCCTTGGGGGTCACAGCTCACAGCAACCTCCAACTCCTAGGCTTAGGTGATTCTCTTGCCTCAGCCTCTCGAGTAACTGGGACTACAGGTACCCATCACAACACCTGGCTATTTTTTGTTGCAGTTTGGCCAGGGCCAGGTTCGAACTCGCCACCCTTGGACCAAGGTATGGGGCCGGTGCCCTTCCACTGAGCCACAGGTGCCACTCTAGTCTCCATCTTTTTTAAGGGCTAAATAGTACTCCATGGTATACATATACCATAATTTATTAATCCATTCATGGGTTGATGGGCACTTTGGTTGCTTCCATGACTTGGCAATTATGAATTGAGCTGTAATAAACACTCTAGTGCAGTGGTTCTCAACCTTCCTAATGCCACAATGTATTTTCATTGTTAAAAAGGGGACGTGACCCACAGGTTGAGAACCACTGCTCTAGTGCAAAATGTCTTTGTGGTAAAATGATTTTTGTTCTTCTGGGTAGATACCTAGTAATGGGATTGTGGGGTCAAATGGAAGGCCAAGACAACTCTTAGATAAGCATGCACAGCCAACTGCTGGTGGATGGACGCCCCTGGAAGTGATTCTTTTTCAGTGAGTGTTTTATTTCTCTTTTCTTTCTTTCTTTCTTTCTTTTTTTTTGGAGACAGTCTCACTATGTTGCCCTTGGTAGAGCACCAGGGTGTCACAGCTCACAGCAACCTCTAACTCTTGGGCTTAAGCAATTCTGTTGCCTCAACCTCCCAAGTAGTTGGGACTACAGGTGCCCACCATAACACCCTGCTATTTTATTGTTGCAGTTGTTTTGCTGGCCTGGGCCGAGTTCAAACCTGCCAGCCTTGGTGTATGTGTGGCTGGTGCCATAACCACTGTGCTATAGGCACCAAGCCGAGTGTTTTATTTCTTTAACTGGATTTTAAGCCATGTTTCCCATTTCTTCCTCATTCCACTCAAGCCTCCAGTGTAGGGTGATCAGGTGCATAGGCCATAACCCATTGTTTAAAGAAATCTGTTGTGTGTACTCTTTCCTCTACATATCACTGGCTTAGAAGTGGACTGAAGCAAATTAGCCTACTGCAGTGATATTTCACCTACCCGCACAGTATGTGCCTGTCCTATTCGAAAAGGATTTGCCAATTTCACTTGAATCTGAGCGCAGTGGAAAGACCCATATACTCCAACAACTTCCAGTAAACCATCATCGTGTCTAAAATTAGAAAAGGAAATATAGAAAATAAGGTGTGATAAAATACAATCAGCTATGTTAGGGCAATTACTTTTCAACATTAGGTGAACCATCAATTTTTTAAATATTCATACTCTCAGGATATATGGAAAAGAAAATTTCAGGGAAAAGTGTTTAAGTCTATAAATAACAGCCTGCTTTAAGAAAATAGTGACATAAAAACACAGACTACAAATGTGCATACCTGGCGAGAGGGTAAGTCTCGTCCCCCATCCCTTCCCAAAGTCTGCAGCCACCGCCCCAGTAGCCGATGTTCAGGACTATAATACCTTCCAAATTAGGCAACGCTACCTGCTCACCATCCAGTTCTAGCTTTAAAAAAAATACAAACAGTTAGTTACTATAAGGCACAGTATTTCCACACGTATCCACTTAGAATTCACACCCACTTTCACGTGAGAGGTTACATACAGAGACTGCTTTCTACTTCTCACTCAGCATTATTTGGCCTTTCCCATGGCTTCAGTGCAACTGTTTCTATCAGGGTCACCAATGACACCCATTTTGTTAAGTCCCCTGGTTTTTCCAGGCGTTATCTATTTCAGTAGCACCTGGCACTGCTGAGCCAGTGTTTTCTTGAAACTTTCTCTCCCTTTGCTTCCTGGGAACCACAGACACCTCTTCCCTGGATTTTCCCCCACAGTCACTATGAACAGCGCCATTTCCTGCTGTCTGTTGATGGCAATCCTCACAGCTACATACTAAGCCCCTTGCTCTTCTCAAGCTATGGACTCTAAAGGGCAATCTTAGCCACTTGCACGACTTTAATTGCCACCTCTGTGCTGACGACTCTATTTTTCTGGTGCAAGAAAGAGACCTGGGCCTGATCTCTAAGTCTGACTTCCTATGTAATACACTTTCACTGACAGTGGCACCTAAAACTTCCGTGCACAAAACTTGAGTTGAGCAAATTCTCTGCAAACTACTCTTCCTGTCCCCAGAAGGAGGAAAGAGCAGTATCCCTACCCTCTACCCCAGCTGCTAAGCCAGAAACCTGGGAGTTATTTTTGACTTCTTTGCCTTTATGCTCCACATCTGATTAATCACTGGGCAATACTGATGCTACTTCTCTCTCTCTTTGCATTATTCCTGATAGTACCTTAGTGCAGAACACCATTTATTCTCCTCTTATACATTCCTTACAGAGCAAGCACACTGACACTTGTAAGTGCCAATATATCATTCCCTAATTACAACCTTTCAGCGGTCTGACTATGCACAGGATGCAATACAGCTCCAGGTTAGGTGCAATGGCACATGCCTTACAGTCCTGGCTACTTAGGAGACTAGGGCAGGATCACTTAAGTCCAGGAGTTTGAGGTTGCTATGATAATGCCACTCCACTTTAGCTTGGGCAACAGAGTGAGACAGAAAAATAAATAAAAAATAAGTCCAAGGGCTGGGCCTGGTAGCTCATGCCTGTAATCCCAGTACTCTCACTTAAGCTCACGAGTTCCAGACCAGACTGAGCAAGAGTGAGACT